TAACAATTTCACCTAAACTAATGTACAACCAATTTTACAAGCTTAGAACTTTTTTTTTTTTTTTTAATTTTTTGGAGATGGACCTTCACTCTTGTTGCCCAAGCTGGAGTGCAATGGCGGGATCGTGGCTCACTGCAACCTTCGCTTCCAGAGATCAAGCAATTCTCCTACCTCAGCCTCCTGAGTAGCTGGGATTACGGGCACACACCACCACGCCCGGATCATTTTTTGTTTTGTTAGTAGAATCAGGATTCCACCATGTTAGCCAGGCTGGTCTCAACTCCTGACCTAAGGAGATCCACCTGCCCCGGCCTCCCAAAGTGCTGGGATTACAGGCATGAGCCATTGCTTCCTGCCAGAACTTTTTTTGTTTTTTGAGAAAGAGTTTACTCTTTTTGCCCAGGTTCGAGTGCAGTGGCCTGATCTCGACTCACTCCCAACTCCTCCGCCCAGGTTCAAGCAATTCTCCTGGGTAAGCCTCTCCAGTAGCTGGAATTACAGGCACCTGCCACCACACCCAGCTAATTTGTACTTTTGGTAGATGTTGGGCAGGCTATTCTCAAACTACTGACCTTATGTGAGCCACCCGCCTCGGCCTCCCAAACTTCTGGGATTACAGGCGTGAGTCACACTGCCTGGCCCAGTAATATAAGGTTTTCTTTTTTTGTTTGTTTGTTTGTTTTTTGAGACAAAGTTTCACTCTTCTTTCCCAGGTGGGAGTGCAATGGCAGGATCTCCGCTCACTGAAACCTCTGCCTCCCGGGTTCAAGCGATTCTCCTGCCTCAGCCTCCCAAATAGCTGGGATTACAGGCATGTGCCACCATGCCCGGCTAATTTTGTATTTTTAGTAGAGACGGGGTTTATCCATGTTGGTCAGACTGGTCTTGCACTCCCGACCTCAGGTGATATGCCTGCCTCAGCCTCCCAAAGTGCTGGGATTACAGGCGTGAGCCACCACACCCAGCCCAGATAAAGTTTTATTAACTCGGCCGGGCACGGTGGCTCAAGCCTGTAATCCCAGCACTTTGGGAGGCCGAGGCGGGTGGATCACGAGGTCAAGAGATCGAGACCATCCTGGTCAACATGGTGAAACCCCGTCTCT